CAATTGAAATTAAGCATGATGAAAAATTCAGTTTCTCAGTCACACTAGTCATCTGTGACTAGTGGCTGACATCTCAGAGAATACAATATAGGACACTGCCATCATTACAGAAAGTTCTATGGGACAGTGCTACTCCAGAATTTACTTTGTATGATCCTATTGGTGGTTGTTATTAATACTTTAAGGCAGAGAAATTTATAGCATAAAATAATAGGTGAAAACCTTTTTAGTGAAGGAGAGGCTAAACCAAACACTTAGATAGGGATAGAACTAGAGAGTGGGGTACTTCCCAGGATCCTTGAGTACCCAGGAGTATATGATGCCTAGGGCTCAGTAGCAGGTGCAGGGGACTAGCCACAGGGGAGCTGCTAAAGGCCATCTTGTCCAGCTTCTCAATTTGGCAAGGATATGTGTTAGTGTTTCATATGTGGCCCTGAGCTTCCTATAACAGGCAATAGAGTTAAGAGCAAAGATACACAGAGTAGTAACCAACCTCTAGGTTCTGTCTCTCTCCCCAACACTTAACCTCCCCTATTCCTTAATACCAGCCCAGAGGGTAATAATATTCCCCATAGTCTTGGAAGCATCGCTCAGAGGATGGGCATTCTGGGAACCTACTTGACCCATCAGATGGCAGTAATCCAGCCCTGCAGGGAAAGGAATATTAACATCACATTTTCAAACTCTCATTCTTGGCTGTCAAAAAAAAGTGGTGTTTATGGGTAATTAAGTTCTGTTCTTTTAAAAGCACAAGAGAGTACAGTCTGAACAGGGCCTAATCATTTTCAAAGACATTTCATCACTGTAACTGAAACATCACTCAGGTAAATTTTTAAATAATTCAGAAGCATCATCAGGGAAGCAAACCTAAAGAATCATGATATGTAACAAGTTCATTAGTAAAAAGAAATATATTTTGGAAATACTTTAAAATGGAAATAGAAAAGCTAGATGAATTCTTTTAAGACTAGTTAATGCTTCAGACTTCCCTGGTGGCTCAGTGGTAGAGAATCTACCTGTCAATGAAGGAGAGGGGGGTTCTATCCCTGGGTCATGAAGATTCCCTAGAGGAGGAGACAGCAACCCACTCCAGTATTCTTACCTGGGAAATCCCATGGACAGAGGAATGTGGTGAGCTACAGTCCATGGGGTCACAAAAGAGTCAGACACAATTTAGCAACTAAACAACAGTTAATGTTTCAAGCCTAAAAACTGCAGAAATCCTACAAGATCAGAATCAAGTTAACAGCAAGGCACGGTCAGATAATGTAACAAAATGACAAGGGTGGTATTGTAAATTAAGCCATGTCTAACTTTGCAGCTCAAAAAGTCTCAATCTCTGGTTCCTAGAAATGAAATCCTAATTATTGCTATGAAAGACAAGCCCTTGCTTTCAGTGCCTGCTTAGCCTACCTCTAGAAGCATGCACAGTTTTTGAAACAGAATATTTAAAATTTTATATGATAAATATCTTGGGAAATCTGCTTTATAAAACATTGTTTTGGAGCATAATTCTATTCAATTTCTATTTTAAAATCCTATCAGGAGAGGATTTGCATATAGGAACACCTCACTATCTCAAACTATCTAAAAACAAAATAATTTGTTTTTCAGTTATGCAATGAAAGCATTGTCAACTAACTGTTGGCCTGGGATTGTTTTATATGTAGGAGCTTTTTGTGACTAGCATAAGAAATTACATTTGCATGCAAATATTAACAGATATCTCCAAGCACCTGCAAAGCACATATGAATATAGGTGGGCCCAGCTTTCACCATTTTCTTTAGGTTACTGACTTGTCCCACTTGTTTTAGTATAGGTGAAACAAAAGTAAATTGTCACTCTATCTAAATGAGCTCAATTATTGGAGCCTGAATTAATGGTGATTTACTACATTCACTTTGTAGTTTCAGAGATAACCTGAAGCAAATGGATAGTGAATGATATCACTAAATGAGATTTTTGGCATGACTAAGTATGAAATTTGTAGAATGCTATTTTATTTCCCAATATCCCCGGAAACTAAAGTACAAATCTGGGTTTACTTGATGTAATGCCTGACATTTGATAATTCCCTGCATTCATATGGCACTTTATCCCATCAAAGTGGAAGCATTCCGGCAGAACAGGCCACTTGGCATCTGTCATTTTGTCTCAACTGCAGGTCGTTGTCCTATTCAAAGGCTCCCTCAGAGGACTGATGGCCTTCAGCTCTGCATGGGGCCTGAGTGTTTCTAGGACATCAGCAACTCAGACATCCCAAGTTTAAGATCAAGATGTTCCCAGATTCAATACCAATTCCTGAGTGCAAGGGTTAAGATGAGCAAAGAAATAGGTACCCGGGACTTCCCTGGTGGTCCAGGGGTTAAGACTCTGCACTTCCACTGTGGGGAGCAGGGGTTCCATCCCTGGTCAAGGAACTAAGATCCCACATGCCGCCCTGCGTAGCCAAAACTTTTTTAAAATAATAATAATCAAGAAATGGGTACCCAAGTCTTTGATAACAGGATTACAAACTACAGGCTCAGATTTTGATTCAAATTTCAGGTGCTTGAGCTCTAAGTCACAGTTTAGTTCAGTCGCTCAGTTGTGTCTGACTCTTTGCAAACCTATGGACTGCAGCACACCAGGCCTCCCTGTCCATCAACAATTCCCAGAGTTTACTCGAACTCATGTCCATTGAGTTGGTGATGCCATCCAACCATCTCACCCTCTGTCGTCCCCTCCTCCTCCCGCCTTCACTCTTTCCCAGCATCAGGATCTTTTCTGATGAGTCAGTTCTTCACATCAGGTGGCCAAAGTATTGGAGCTTCAGCTTTAGCATCGGTCCTTCCAATGAATATTCAGTACTGATTTCCTTTAGGATGGACAAGTTGGATCTCCCTGCAGTCCAAGGGATTCTCAAGAGTCTTCTCCAACACCACAGTTCAAAAGCATCAATTCTTCTGCACTTGTAAATTTACTATGAACAGAGTGAAATTGGAGATGAACAGTGGTTACCTCGCCAGCATAACATAAAGCTGGGTGCGATCCTTTCTGCATCTGAGCTGCTTACCTCCGGTCCACCGTCAGGAACCAACACAGAGCCGGAGACCCATGGTGCTCATGGGACCCTGGGTGAAACAGAAAATTCATCTACAGAGTTCAATGGCTACTAGGACCTTTATGATAATCTAGAGCAATAACGAATGAATTCCATTCATGAAGAAGAGGGAGAAGAATCCAGAACAAAAGAAGACAGGCCATTATGTTTGGAGATGTCCTCTCCCTGGTTCCGTATACTTTTCTGGTGGAGGTGAGGTCCAGCCTCAGCTGCTGGTTGATTGTTCATGTTTTTCAGGGAGGGGTTCTCTCCTGAGGAGCACCTTCCACTCTGTTTTATGAAGGAAAATACTGGCTCTGGCGAAGCAGGTGTGAGAATGAAACAAGAAGATGGTGCTATTCTCAGAGAGGAAGAGCTGTTTCACCACAACCCTTCACCGCACCAACTGAGACGACAAAAAGGCCCCTTCTCACACAGCTCTGTTCTCAAAACCCCCGGCAATCATGTGTTTATGTGTCTGTCAACAGATTTCACCCATCATCTGCTTTGGAACACATAATTTTAAGAGATCCATCTATTGTGTTTTTATTATAACAAATAACTAGCTATCTCTATTAAGGTTTATGTCGTTTTCATATAAGCAACTTGGAGAAGTAAACTGTGCTTAGAAATACAGCTTTCAAAGGATCAATTACATATAAATAACATTATATGACAGTCTATCAAATCCTCAGCATGTTTGTTTTCCCTTCAGTCGTAAGCATTTCTAAAATTTCAAACTTGGCTATGTCTTTCCACTAAGCTCTTCATTTAAGAGAACAGGCTATAATTTCCAGGAAAGCAAGTTTGCTGACTAATCTGAAAAACTGGAAGCTGTGAAGTTGTTTATTCTATGCCCCAAAGAGATACCCATAAATCAACAAGGGATAGTCCTTAGAGCATGTTAGCAGAATTACATGAAGAAAGAGTAGAAAGACACCCACACACCATCCAAGAACACATTTGGTTAATTTAATCTCCACTTGATTAAACATCAGCTGAAAAAATTGCATCTGTAAGAAGCCTGATGTGGGTGGAAGCATCCATCACCTGCTGGTACTCTCCTGGTTCAATGAGGCAATCCACACCCTCTAAGAGAAGTCAAGGGCCAGTGACCTGCCTCCAAGAATAGAGGGGTATTTTCCTTGATTGTCTACATCCATCAGATTTACAATGGAATCTCCCATATACCACTGTGTGAAGGGTCCCAACTGCCCTGCTTCAGAAGCTAGACAAGACAGAGAGGTGAATTTCAGTGCCCACCTTTCCCTTCCTCTCTGATTTCTTAAAGACTGCATGCAGTTAGACTAGTCTGAGAGCCAGTAGTTTAATTTGCATTTATTCTGGCACATTGCTTCCAGGTCCAGTTCAGTCGCTCAGTCACGTCCAACTCTTTGCAACCCCATGAACTGCAGCGCACCAGGCCTCCCTGTCCATCACCAATTGCTGGAGTCACCCAAACCCATGTCCATTGAGTCAGTGATGCCATCCAACCATCTCATCTTCTGTCATCCCCTTCTCCTGCCATCAATCTTTCCCAGCCCAGCATCAGTGTCTTTTCAAATAAGTCAGCTCTTCACATCAGGTGGCCAAAGTATTGGAGTTTCAACTTCAACATCAGTCCTTCCAATGAACACCCAAGACTGATCTTATACCACCTCTTAAAAAAGCTCCAATACTTTGGCCACCTGATGCAAACAGCAGAGTCATTGGAAAAGACCTTGATGCTGGGAAAGATTGAAAGCAAAAGGAGAAGAGGGTAGCAAAGGATGAGATGGTTGGATGGTATCACTGACTCAATGGACATGAATCTGAGCAAACTCTGGGAGACAGTGAAGGACAAGGAAGCCTGTCGTGCTGCAGTCCATGGATCACAAAGAGTCAGACACGACTTAGTGACTGAACAACAACAACAACAAAAATTGCTTATCCCCACAGTCTAAAAAAGAACATGGCATGCGGCAGCGGCTCAAAAAATATTTTTTGATGGGATATCTCTTTACCCTAAAACCGTGATGCATGTGGCCTACTTGGAGGGGGTCCAGCTCTGCCTTAAAAGCTGCTATTACAGTATGAAATGTGACTCTGTGCTTGGCCACCAAATCACAAAGAACCATACATTGTCCCCCAGAGCACCATCTGGGCCTGGGAAGAAATCTTATCAAGGTTGACATGACTTTGAAGATCAGCCCCATTGACTGGCTGGAGGAGATCTGCCTCAGTCCATAATTCAACTCACGCATCGCGGGTTTCTCATTTGCCCTCTAACTGGAATTCAGTCAGGATGCCCTGCAGTTCTTGACAGTGGCTGAGTCAAGGTCTTCTCTGGCCTGGCCTGGGTTTGTTTGCCTTGGGAGGGATTAGAGGCCCAGATTCAGTGCAGATACTGGTGGCCTGTTCTCTCCAATCCTGATCTGCAGAATGTTTCCATACATTGTTCGTACTTCATGAAAAGCTGCCAATTTCATCCTCTTCTCTTAGGCTTGCTTGTCTAATATCATATCTAGGGTCTAGGCCCAACCTGTCCAGGTCCAGGTGAAGTGCTCTGAAGTGTTCTTTTGGAGACACTTTTTTTCTTTATCTTCTGACCCAAGTGGTCAGTTTATCTTTGCTTTTAATTGCAAAGGGAGTAACGTTTTAACTGTATAAGTTAACTAAAATGAAAATATATACTGAAAAATATTAGCAAATGATTTTTAATGACTCTTCTCTGTACTTCCCACTGCTACCAGAAGGAATAGATTTAAATAATAAGTGATTTCTGGCCTAGTCACAGGTTAAGGCTGAGAGCAGGAATGGAGTGACCCTGATCAATGGGCCATTAGATCTGGTTTCTGGAGGGTGGCACGGTGGAGAGGAATGTGGGCAGAGTCCTCACTGCCGGCCAGAACCAAACCTGTTAGAAGGGAGGTAACTCAATGTGACCAGCTGCCCTGTGAGGCATGAATGATCAGAAATCTGATAGCGGTGCCCTGCACCCCAATTAGACAGGAAGCAAAGTACTACTGGGCAAGATAAAGCTGATAACTGCAACCTAGTCCTTCTAGAATCACATGCTTATTCTATGGCCCCAGTTAAGCAGAGCATGAGTCATCCCCAGAATCAAAGACACAAATTATCTAGAGCAGCAGGCTCGAAACCAGTGTGCCCAGGTAACTGGGGACCCCTTCTTTAGTCACAATATGCAAGGCCCAGGCTGCAGAAAACATGAATATTTTTCTGTCCATTTCTTCATAACTTCCTCTGGTTTTCTGCTTATATTTCTTTATAATATTTGGTGCCTTTTGGACAACCACTGTCTACATAAGCATTGATAATAAGTCCAATAGAAAATCAGACTTTTGCAATTAATTTGCAAAAAAGCTAGCTTCCCATGACATGGAGTTGCTCTCACCCTAAAGAAAAAGGTCCTTTTTCCAGCCTGTCATCAGGGTAACTCAACAACAAACAAAGCAACGTGTCCTCTTTAACAATTGCTATAATTCTCACCCGGAAACTTTTGTTTTCACAATTCTTAAATCAATGTATATCCTGATCTCAAATTCCAAATTCACCAAGTAAACAAGTGAACTGATAAGAAAAATGGCAAGTCTGTTCTGACCCTAAATCCAGAGCTACTTGAATACATAAGATCTTAAAAGGGACCAATACCCCAGTCTATGTCCCCAAACCAGGGGAGGAGCACAGCCAGGGTCAGAATGACAAAAAGGACTGTCTTTGAGTAACAAGGTCATCACCTCCAGCACCATAGCCAGAGGACTAGTCTCTGTGTTTTGATCTCTGGCCCAGGAACAGAAAACAGGCAGAGAGAGCTGTAGTTTCAATATCTACTCTCCAGCAGCAGGCGCTGCCTTTGCTTAGAAGCCTCTCCTGGGGAGATGCTCACACGTCAACAACATGAAGCCAGAGCTTAGACCTGAGAGGAGGAGACTTTGAGCTACGAAGTGTCAGGATGGAAACTCAGCTTTGGGTGTGCCTATGGTCCTCGTCTATGCCTCACTCTGTCTCTTTGTGCTGGTGGGAACTTCAGCGGGATGGGCCCACAGCAGGGAGGGGAGAGAGGAACCTTCCACCAGGCCCCTGATGTGATGTGCCCACTCACAGGGTGAGATGTCCCACATAAATCCTGAGAGCACAGCCCAGTTTCAGAATTTAACCACAGGCACTGTCCTGACTCTACTGCTCAAAGAAAAGGTGTCTAGTCTCACATCAGCCTTTAAAATGACCCCAAAATGTCATTTTAAATCTATTGGCCAAACCAAGGCTCACTGAAACCTCAAGCAGAGAAACTCAAGTTTTGAAACTTGAAACTTTGAAACTTTGAAAATAGAGGCTAATGTGGGGTCTCCTTCTGATCCCCAGATTGGAACTGAGACTCATGAAGATTTACCATCAGTCTTAAAAATAGATAAATTCTTCAACCTAGAAATGCACCATCTAATTGGAGGTGGAGAAACACTCTGGGTGCCTGTGTGGGATTATAATATTTGAAATTTTATTAATAGCCAAGGAAGAAATCTAATTTTTTTTAGCCTGGTTCTAGGAGACTTATGGACCTTATTTTAACTGATATATATTTTAGAACTAAGGAAACAGCCTCAGAGAAGTGACAGTTAAATACTAAATGCCTTTATTTCTTCTGCCCTAGAAAATGCAGTGTATGTAAACACGTAAGAAACCCTGGAATGAATATGAACTCAGTGCTGATCCTGGTTTTGAGCTGATGTTTAATCATTTGGAGCCACATGGCAGCCCTTAAGGTTCCCTGTTCCCAGGTCATACATTCAGAGCTTCCAGGCGGTTCGCATCATGACGATGAAATACACATCAGTGTCAATGGACGCGCTCACCCCGGCATAGTAGTTCATGAACTCCTCAGGAGTCACCTGCAGTGTAAAAGTTAGGGGAAAAAAAACACACAAAGCTTTGCTTCTCACCATTTCAGTTGAGGGACATCTCCAGGACCTGTAAATGGGAGGGAAATTTCAGTCAAGGGGACTTTTTAGTGACACCACTGAGGAACAGATCTAGAAAAAGAGAAAAGATGAGGTTGAGGATGGCCATGAGTGAGTGGCCAAGGGGAATAAAGGAAGAAAGTCTCGAAAATTTCCAAACCAACCTAAATGGAAAGTGAGATGCAGGTCTATCTTCCTATAAGAGTAGAAGCCCATCTGTCCAGGTAAGTGAGACTGAAACTCAGAATAGAAACATGGGTTCTTTAATTGAAGTGAATCCCCTCTTTTGGTGACATGTCAGAAATACCACCCTCATGTTCTTGTGTCAAGACAAGACATGTTTTTTACCTTTAAAAATGGAACGGAAAAAAAATAAAAATAAAAATGGAGCTCCATCCTACAGATAAGGAAAGAGATTTCTTGTTAAACACGCCTTGGCTTCATGCTTTTTTAAGATATATATGATTCATTCCATGCACAGAGTAAGTTCTAAAAGATCCCCCCACTCCATCCCCACTTGGGTTCTCTCTCTTTCCATGCCTGTTTCAACTAATATGTTTACTTATGTTAAGATTTTACTTTGCTTTCCTTTTAGAGAGAAGAAATGCAGTTACCAGTGTATTTTTAAATAGGTGCATGTGACAAGTGCGCTCTAATTCAACGTATTAGCAGACACAATTAGTTGACTCAGGGAAATAATAGTTCTTTGGTTTGATCTTTATGATCAGTGAATTTAGCCCCAAGTACAGACCAGCTTAGCTCAGACAGTAAAGTGTCTGCCTACAATGCAGGAGACCCGGGTTCAATCCCTTGGTTGGGAAGATCCCCTGGAGAAGGAAATGGCAACCTACTCCAGTATTCTTGCCTGGAAAGTCCCATGGACTGAGGAGCCTGGTAGGCTACAGTCCATGGAGTCACAAAGAGTCAGACACGACCAAGCGACTTCTTTTTCCTTCCCTTTCTTTCTTTCTTTCTTTCTTTTCTTTCTCTCTCTCTCTCTCTTTCTTTCTTTCTTTCTTTCTTCTCTTTCTCTCTCTCTCTCTTCCTTTCTCTCTTTCTCTCTTTCTTTCTTTCTTTCTTTCTTTCCAGACCAGCTTATATGGGAGGAGAGACACAGTAATGATGGTTGTCTGGGAAAGTTATCGCTTTTCCAGCTAGCCCTCAAATTTCAGTGTCATGAGGGACTGAAAACAATACAAAAAGTAAAATACATAAATAATTCAAAACCCCTTTCTAGTCCCTAACAGCAAACTCCTTTCTCACCAGTCTTGGGGAACATTCTTATCTCTTCCAAGAATCATGAGTTGACTGACCCACTTGCATTTTGTGCTGAAATTATAAGGGAACAGAGAAAAAAGTCATAGGATCCATTCTTGTCTCCTTCTGTTCTCCCCTTCTCTCTCTTCCTCCTGTCTCTCTGCTCCCACCCCACCCCATAAAAGAGTAAAAAGCAGTAGGAAGAAAGACGCTGAATGGAGCTAGTAACTGTGCTGTGCCTGTCAATGCCTGGAAGTAGAAATAAAGAATACATGCACAAGAGCTTTTGCTAATAATTATAGAGTACCATTAATGTGCTTCTTTCTTGAGTTTCTTTATTTCTGGCCTGCTTTGCATTCCCTAGTTCTCCAGCTTTCAGCTCCATCTGGAGTTCCTTTATAACAACAGCTCTTTGTTCATTTAAAATGTGACTCAATATAGAAAAGTCTGAATCATTCACCAGGTTTAAAAAACATTTTCCTTACTCCTATTAAATGGAATATCCCTGGAAAGTCCTTGGCACAATGTCTGGGCAATAATAAGTGCTCGATAAATACTATTCAGATTTATAATTATGCTAAGTGATGTTTCTGTGCATAATATGTGCATATGTGCATGCTAAATCACTTCAATCCTGTCCAATTCTTTGAGACTCTCTGACTGTAGCCCACCAGGCTCCTCTCTCCATGGGATTCTCCAGGCAAGAATACTGGAGTGAGTGGGTTGCCGTTTCCTCCTCCAGGGTATGCATAGTAGGTTTAGTCATTGAATCAGGCACTTCTGAATCTTTGAGAGGCAAAGATCTCGAATACCAATGTGAATAAGAGTTGTTTGGGATACTTGTTAAAACTGTAAATCCTTGTACCCCACGCCCACCCCCCCACCCCTCTTTAAAAACAATCAGATTTCGCAGTTCTTCAGGGCTGCCAGCAACCTGAATGAATAATCCATTCCCTGGATGATGAGCACCCAGAGAGCTGGGGGTTTATGCAGAGTCTGTGAAATTCAGGTGACATCAAATGCTATAACCGCTAAAAACCCCAATAACCCTTACTTTGAGTATTTGAGAACCTACTGTGGCTTGTGAAGATAAATGTCAGAAGAAACGGGGTGGGAACTTGAAATCAGCTGAATCACAACAACTGGCTATTCTGACTTGGGTTAGAGAAAAGGGCAGCTGAGGTTTCCCCTGGCAAAGGGGAGGAACCACCTGCAGAAGGGGGGTAGATACAGCCTGGGACCCCACGTCAAGATGGGCTAATTTGGGGAAATGACAGTTGACTATTTTTCCACTGCCATCTCAGAGATCAAAGGCCAGCCTCAGGGGAAGAAAACACGGTTCTGCTGTTTCTGTCCCCATGCATTTGACTGCCCAGCAGAATCTAGGCTCCTTTTTTAAATCTACTTCTGCAATCACTTCAGGCTAAAATGGAGGGTATTTCTCTGCCCCGGCAGGAAAATGTCAGCAGAAACAACAGAAAGATCTCCCTCCCCTTGGTCATAGGGCTCACCATGAAGTTTCACAGAAAAAAAATGGAAGGGAAATTCCCTTTAGGACAGGAAGGCTTGTTTCCTCTCCCTATCTCCAGCATCTCCGCTTCCAGCCCACTGCCACACTGAGCCTTCCTGTGTGGCAAAGAGGTCAGGAGTCACTGTCCCCAGGGTCCTGCTGCCCCAGCCACACAGAGAACTCCCTTCCCCATCACCTCAAACCTTCAGGGCATCTCAGAGCAGAACTGATCCTGGGTCAAAAATCCCATTTCTGGATGTTGATAAAAGACAGACGACATTCTATCTTGGACTTCCCTGGTGGCTCAGATGGTAAAGAAAGAAAGAAAGTTTAGTCACTTAATCATGTCCAGCTGTATGCAACCCTCATAGACTGTAGCCTACAAGCCTCCTCTTTCCATGAGATTCTTCAGGCAAGAATACTGGAGGGGGTTGCCATTCCCTACTCCAGCAGATAGCAAAGACTACGTACGTCTGCAATGCAGGAAATCTGGATTCCATCCCTGGGTCGGGAAGATCCCCTGGAGGAGTGAATGGCACCGACTCCAATATTCTTGCCTGGAGAATCCAAAGGACAAAGGAGCCAGCCAAGTGGGTTACAGTCCATGGATTCGCAAAGAGTCAGACATGACGGGTGACTGCCACTTTCACTTTTCTTTCATTCTGTCAGGGAAGTGTGTAATTTCCTCGGTTCTTTCTCGTCATAACAAAAATTTGAAGAAACGGATGTTAAAGCCCTCGGTGCATCACAGCTCTTGGACAGTGTTACAGCTCCGTGTTACAGCTCAGTTTTATTTAGAAAATAAAGAAAAATACATCCTCAAGGTGTGAGGGCATGCCAACCCAAAAGACAGGAAGAGAAGAGAAGAGAGAGAGAGAGAGAGAGCACGCACGCATGCGGGCACACAGGAGAGAGAGACCCTCGGCCCTTTGGCTCCTCTTTCTATATGTTTTTTTCCTCCCCTTGCACCTGCCCTATGTAAATTGGGCTAGCCAGGAGTGCTGTTTGTTCTACCTGAGGTCCTCACTCCAGTCCTCAGGCCTTCCTTTGTTCTATTTTCTTTCTATTTTCCCTTTCTTGTCTTTTAGCCACTGCCATTCTGGACTCCTTTTTCCTATTCTAGCTACCTAACAATTCCATCTCAGTTTAAATACAGTTATGGCAACAGTGTTCCTTATCCTACCAAGCAACATGTTTTGTCACTTGAAGACACGAGTTATTGGAAATGGGTGGTTGCTTTTGTCCTTAAGTTCACTGGCGTTTAGAAACGGAAGTTCATCTCAAAGCCCACCAAAGAGTAAATCAGAGTGAATTCTGTTATCTGGCATTCCCTTAATGAATGCTCCCCTGAAATGACATTTTCATGTAGCGAAGTGTGATGACAAACGATGCTCAGGAGGATGTGTGAAAAGGCAGGCAGCATCCCGAGATGCCCTGTGAACCATGTTCCCCAAAGTTGAATTATGGTCTCATTTTGAAGTTAAATATGTATTATCATCAAGTTCATTGAAATTAGGCTAGCTGTGTATGGTAAATATGGCAACCAAGAAACAGAACATTTAACCAAAATGCCACAGTCTTCAGATGATGGGTATTTAGCTGTATGTGGCTCCCCTACAAATATATGTGCATACACAGACGAACACACACACACATTTTTATTACCTTTGTTCTAAGCTTTCTAGATAGTCACCAAGGAAACATTGTACTTCTATTTATAAGATAATATTTTTAAAACTTGGGGCCCATTTCCCATTTATAATTATGGAAAGAAATTTCACTAGATTAAGTTCTTTCACTCACCACTCCATCTTTGTCATAAGGTGAGTCAAAGTTATCCAGAAATTTCTGGAACACTTGCTCCTCCGTCCATTCACCATTCTGATACTTTGGATGGTGTTTTGCATTGTACACCTCTCGAAGGTCTTCAATTGTTATCACACCATCTCCAGTCTTGTCTAGCTTTCTAAAAGCTTGCATAATCACCTCTTTTCTGGCTCTGGACATTGGAGGCTAGAAACATAGGAAAAAAGCCACATACATAAGTTGATGAGCTTTCCTTGTATCTTCTGCAATGAAATATCTCAGTGATGTGCAACTGCAATGGTATGTGTGCCTTTAAATGATGTGCATTATGACTGCTCCAGAAAATCCCTAAGCCTGTATTGTCTCCTGCCCATCTCCTCCATGGTGTGCTATCAGCTTCCAAAAACCAAGTCTCACGATAGCCAGTCCAAACCACGTTAGGCCAAACCCAGTGAATACAGTGATTCGTGGGACCACTTACTCTTAATGTGAGAAGAAATTCATTGAAGTCTATTGTTCCATTTCCATCTTTATCAAACCTCCGGAAAAGCTCTTCTGCTTCCTCCTTTTCCATGACCACAGCATAATCATTTAACCCTTTCACAAATTCTTTGAAATCAAGGGTTCGGTTGTTATTGTCATCCATAATTTGAAACACTCTGAAGATAAGATACACATATAAAATGGAAGAAAAAAACACCAAGAACAAGATATAAGAATAAAAATTCAAAGAGCAAGCCACTCTCAAGGTTTTTTGAAGTAAAGACAAAAGTCTTAGGTTCTTCTCTGGTGAGCTTCTTCCCAGCCCTTCAAAAAAGAAAATAAACATTTAAAAATATACTGTGTGCTCTAATTATATGACATTCTGAAAATGCCAGAACTGTAAAGGTGGTTTAAAAAAAAGATGCAGGGAAGGGGAGAGAGATTCTGGGCAGTGATATTTCTCTGTATAGCACTAGCGTGGAGGATACATGATGTGCATTTGCTAAAGCTCATAGAACCTCACAGCACAAAGAGTGAGCCTTAATGTGTACATTTAAAAAAAATTTTTTTAGCACATCAGGGAATCCCAGGAAGGAATACAGATTGTGCTGCGAGAATTCAACTGCTTTATAAAAGTTTGAGACCATCTCCCTGAAGGGGGATGGAAAGATGAAAGTGCTGACTTAAGTAACTCTGGAAATGAGTAGAGTTCATAAGACTAAAGACAAAATGAGCTGCACATAACCTCTGTACTCCAGTTGATAAAGATATTTCTCATGGAGATATAAGTTGACAATTTCCTTGTTGCTATATGGGTGCCCTGGATCCAAACAATTAAAAGGACGATGGGAGCTAAGCTTCTCACTGTTGGAGTGGGGATTTATAGATAAGCTAGGACAGGGGGCTAGAATGATCTGATCAATAAGGATTGAGCTGGAGACATCAGTAGGAACTCACGTTTAGCTTAATATAAACATAGATGAATACATATAAAATATTTACAGATATGTATAGATAGAGAGGGGTTAGCCTGTACATCTGTATCTCCTTGTTCTGTCAACTAAGAGAATCTAAAAGTAATACCTTAGTAAGAACAAGAACATCTAGAGTCTAGATCTTGGTTTATGATACAATTCTCCAAGAAAAGGAAATGAGCTTCTTGGAGAAATGTCTGATTCTAGAACTGGGGCAAGAAAATTTGCAAGATAAGCTTGGAGTATCTTATACCAAAAGGTAAAGAAGTGCTCAAAGAAACTCTACATTGATGGAGATACATCAAACGGAAACAGAAGCCAACCGAAAGAGCTCCCAAAGCCAAAACTGAAACAATTTGAACAATAAAAAAGAGTTGGGTTATAACCCAAAGTATAAAATACATATCCATGAGTTAATAATGGTTTAAGTAAATGATTGAAAAAGTAGATAAATGTGGGAGAAGAGAGAAATTTCTCTTGCCAAATTTCAAATAAATTATGCTCATACTCTCTCTTGAAGGAGGAAACCATGCTCCCCAGGCCCTAAGTGGGGCTCTGCATAGACACTTCCCTTTGAAGAGTCCAATATGGAGAGGCAGAGGGGAAAGCAAGTTTACAGAGGAGAAACCAGGCACTGTCTCAGCCAGGAGACCAAGATCAACGCCAATGGTGATAAGCCATTCTGATAGTTGGAGAAGGAAATGGCCACCCACTCCAGTACTCTTGGCTGGAAATCTCATGGACAGAGGAGCCTGGAGGGCTGTAGTCCATGGGGTCACAAAGAGTCAGACACAACTGAGCGACTAACCCACCATCACCCTCATGTTGATAGTATGCATGCATCCTTGATTTAATGTGATGAGAATGTCACTTTTCTTCTGTGGCTCCCAAAGAAACATAATCCCAGTCTAACTATAAGGAAAAAAGAAAATGGGGAAAGGGGCAGTCAACCCTTGAGGAGAAATGTAGGGAAGGGCAAAACCAGTAAAGGGGAGGAGGCAGAGGGCACATTCATGCAGAAGGCCAAGGAGGAGACAGTGTCTGGTCACAGTAGACTGGTTCACAGTGGAAGGGCTGATAGGGGCGTGGGGTGGAGGTGGCATAGACGGCAGGAGAGATTCAACTGAATGGGCCAGGGAGTAGATGAGACAGTAGTAGTCATGAGGGGTCTACACTGAGGACAAGAATGTGACCCCAGCACGAAGGTGGAGGAGGGACTGATACAATGTTGAAGGGAAGTGGGCTGGTCTTCCCATTGGACCGTGACAGCCTGGCCACCAGGATCCATTTGCCCACATCCTGAGCATCTGATAGAGCTGGGCTTGGTCCGAGAGTGGGGGACTGTTGAAAGTGACATTCCAGTGCTCAGTAACCTGTGGGAAAGGAAACCTCTCGGCCACCAGATGGGAAGTTGGAGCTCCCCAGCGCTGGCGCTCTGTCTGTCTCTAACACACAACTTCTCACACCAGGAGGATGCCCGTCCTTGTGACTCTTGGTGTCCTGGGTTCTCCACGAACCCTGGAGAAGCCTTGCTTGCCCATGAAAGCCCTGAGATAGCACGATGCCCCACCCATGGCAGGCACTGGGTTTAGTCTTTGGAAATAGATAACACTCAGGACCCACCCTTAGGAGGCTTACAATCTCTTTCCACTCAGGTTTCCCGGACCTGAGGACTAATCCCAGGATCAGAGGGCCAGGAACAAGACCTGTTCTCCTGTGAAGCTGAGGGAATCCCTGGGTGGCAGGAGATTCCTGTGTCCCTGGAAGTGATGGAGACACAAAACCTGCAACTGCCTCTAAATCCCTATTGCTCCCTCCCTATTCTAATTCACTACCCCCCCTTTGAGGGGACTTTCAAATTTTACTCATGCCAAACATCTGATCCTAAGCTCAGTGAATACTTTAATAGCACATCCATTGCTTTCTCTGGACATACAGAGTCATTTCTCAGCCTCTCCTGAACCCTACTGAGAGCTTGAGGTCAGCAGAGGCAAACTATTACATTTAGCATGGATAAACAGCAAGGTCCTACTGTAGACCAAAGGGAACTATATGCCAGTCTCCTGGGATAATTCAGCCCTTATTGTCACAGCTTTAGGGGCTGTCTTTCTCATTACACTGCTTGTTGTTCAGTCGCTCAGTCATGTCTGACTCTTTGCAACCCCGTGGACTGGAGCACGCCAGGCTCCCTTGTCTTTCACTGTCTCCCAGAGTTTGCTCAGACTCATGTCCATTGAGTCAATGATGCCATCCAACCATCTCATACTCTGTCACCCCCTTCTAGGTGTCTCTAATACCTGGATGTGCTTCTCCCTTCACTTTGATTTGTCCCAGTAACTGCACTTAAGAACCAAAAATTGTCACAAGGGACCTCAGAGATCAATGCTTCCAAACTCTGCATTTTACAAAGGAGGAGCTGAGACCCAGGAGGAAGTGACTTGCCCAAGGGCCCATGGCGGGTCTCAGCCTCACTTGGCTGCACTCTGCCTTTCTCCTTCATCTCGCTGCAGCCTACAGACCGGGTCCTACCTGCCAAGCCCTTTGATGCCCGCTGAGCCCCTGGCCAGGCACTGCAAGCGGAGCCTCTCGATGGGGTCAGTGGTCACGGCGAGCTTCTTCCTGGCCTGGGTCGCCATCTCTCGGTCGTGGCGTGCGGTCCCTGCCATCTGAGAAGGGATACACACCGGTCAGTGGGGCTGACGCCTCCCTGTGAGCCTCTGGCTCGGCAGGGTGACCACAGCCTCGCTGAGGACATTCACAGCACACTCGCTCATCCACTTCCTGAGAACCATCTCAAAGCTCCCAAAATTTCCAGATTGCACCTGCAACAACCATGTCCTGGCACATTTATTACTGGCTTACCTAGTCCTGAGATCATCAGATCTCTGCAGCCTGGGCAACAGTTTTAAATACACAGCCGTCCCTGTTGATGATACACGTTCATCTCTCAGAAGCTCTCTTCCCATCACACAAAAATAAGTCATTTCTCCAAATACTTTTTGAGCCAGTCTGACCTGCTTTATTCTTTTATCTAGAAGTTTCCATATTCCCTTTGACTGCAGATTTAATATTCTCCTTTTTGGTCTAAAGATTAATTTTTGATGCTTCTGTCTTCATGGAGATTCTCAGTATTGGGCTTTGATGATTCCTACGAGTAATGAGTATGTTTTCCTGGGTTGACTGGGCTTCCCTGGTGGATCAGTGGTAAAGAACCTGCCTGCCAATGCAGGAGACACGGGTTCAATCCCTGAATTGGGAAGATCCCCTGGAGAAGGGAATGACAACCCACTCCAGTATTTTAACCTGGGAAGTTCCCTGGACAGAGGTGCCTGGTGGGCTACAGTCCATGGGGTCCCAAAGATTCGGACGTGACTGAATGACTAAGTACACATGAATGCCTGGATTGACTGGTTAGTGTCCATTAACACCTAAGTAGGTTCTCAGGACAGAGAAAGGTAAATAGACTCTCTCTCCTGAAGAAGAGCTATATCTTTTTTCTACAGTTTGCCTTTTGTGTTTTAAACATTCAGAAACAGGAGAGAGGGCGGCTGCAGGGAAGCCCTCCACTTTTCAAGGTCCACGAGCAGCGTAGGAACTGTGCTGAGACTGCAGCCAGGCACTGAGACCCACACAATCCCGGAAAAGCCATGGAGCTGGGAGCCCGGAGACCCAGGTTCTAGGCCTGACTGCAACCCACTCCTGGTGAGGTCTGAGCAAACCTCAGGGCCTCTGATTCTTCCTCCTCTGTTATGTGAAAAGATGAGATTAAAGAATCTTTAAATTCCAGCTCTGCTCCAAGAAACACAAATCTTCCTATGAGCCCACTGACCCAGTTAATTGGGGAGATTCTAGAAATTTCTTTTTCAGGGTGAGCTGTGAATAAAAGGAACAAGAGAGCTTGGTGGATATGCAAAAAAAAAAATAATAATAATAACAACACTCACAATGCAGAAAATACTGGTGTTACAAAGGTACTGCCCTTGACTCAAAGGCTCCCCTCTGCCCCCAGGCCCCCAGGTGCTGGCACTTCCTCCTTTCATCAGCAATGATGACCCTCTTGCCCTCCAAGGCTGCTCTGTCCAATACAACCCAGAAGGTCTGCCCACAAAATTCTCAACCTGAAGGTGTGTATGTAGGGGACGCGCTGCATATGAAATATCCAGTAGAGGCAAATTCATGAACAGAACACAGATGGGTTGCTGCCAGGGCCTGGGAGGGGGGCCGTGGGAGTGACTATTTCATGGGACAGGCTTTCCTTTGGCAGTGCTGGCAAGTGATACAGGTGATAGCTGCACAACAGGGAGACTCAACCATACATTTTTAAATGCCTGATTTTATCAGGTGTCGATTTCACCTAATTGTTTTAAAACCCTATGAGCTAATTACTGCTATGATTCACGTTTCACAGATAAAGAAATTGATGAGCACAAAAATCAGGCGACTTGCCCGGCTCCCACCATCATCGTGACTCACGGAAATTCACACACCGTCAGGACTGCAGAACCCCGAAATGTCATCCAGGGCCACACCTTCCTCTGGCAACTTGGAAACTGGAGCTTGTTGGTTAAGGAACCTGCCCCCAAATCCCGGCCAACAGTGAAACTGGGGGCTTCAGACCAAGCAGGGCTCCACCACCTTTGTGAATACTACAAAAGCATTTCAAAGTACAACTTGATGGCCCCCAGGCACAGGAGACTAGGGTAGAGTCTGGGAAAACAACCCTCCTGATCTGTCTTTGCAGACCTCCCTATCCAGTGACCCCACAAGCAGTTACCTCCAGAATCTAGGCTGACATATCCAGGGGAAAAAATTACATTCTCTCCTGCCATCCAGCCTACCATGGTACCTGAAATGCCCATGTTAACTACCGTTTTTAACCATTTAATGAACCAGTTCATCAACAAGTAGCTAATATTTATCCTGTGATAGTTTCAAAAAGTGGAAGTGTTAGTTGCTGAATCTATACAACTCTTTGTGAACCCGTGGACTGGATCCCACCAGGCTCATGGGATTCTCCAGGCAAGAATACTGAAGTGGGTTGCCATTCCTTTCTCCAAAGGATCTTCCCGACCCAAGGATCAAACCCAGATCTCCTGCATTGCAGGCAGATTCTTCACTCTCTGAACCACAGAAGCAAGCCCTTGACTGAATAGCTGAGAATCATGAACTTTGAGTACTGAACTCCTCTAGTTAGCAAGGCAGGAAACAAAATTTGCTAAGAACTGAGGGCTTTAGAAGAAGGCAGGATGAGTCGAGTTTTGGTGAAGGCCACACTCAACTTCTGAAGTTTGCATGAAGGTACCAGGGCAGGAATCTGTTCCCAAACGTATGTCACTGGCATCACAGAACTGAACAGGGCTCCCTGACTCCAGCCGACCCTCTCTCAGCCTGGAGGAGCCCACGTGGGGACAACAGCCGGGCCAGCCGGGCCTGCGCCAAGCAAGAGGCTGCCCTCCGAAGCGCGTGGCTGCAGCGCCACCTTGTGTTGGCACCGCGTCTGCGCAGGTTGCCTGGTGAGACGCCAGTTCGGTCCATTCCCTCAACAAACATCTAATAAGCGCTGGGCACTGAGCTAGTAGTCGGGGCGGAAGGGGGAAGACAGCTGAGCCAAGGAAACTCAGGAGATGCGGCCAAGCAGCCTTGGAGTGGGGCTTTCTCAGGATTTGTCAGAGGAGGCGAGGGTGGTAATCACCCAGGCGAGGGTTGTGGGAATGCGAGAAGCGAGAGAGCAGGGTCTGCTTCCCAAGTGCCAAGGCCAGAGTGAGAAAAAGAAAAAAGAAAGAAAGAAAAGAAAGAAATGATCATAACTAGAGAAACAAAAGTATTTAAGTCTGATTGAAGACTAGGTGTCTGTAGCGGCGAGAGTGAGAGAGAGCCATGGAGATTGGGCGGGGATTTGGGAAGGGGAAATTGGGAGAAAGATAGAACTAGGCAAGTGGGCAGGCATCAGATCCCCTAGAGCCTCGGACACCGTGGTAGTGAGTCTGTAGTCTGTCCTGAGAGCGACAGGAGGCCACAAAGGGTTTCAAGCGAGGGAGCGGCCGTTTGTATGGAAGACCCTTCTGGATAAAGTGTGGGGAACGGACAGGAAGGTGGGACAGGCTGACTGCGGGAGGTGAAACCAGGCTGGCAACAGCCAGATGAGAGCTCACACTGCCAGGAAGGCGATGTCGGCGGTGGGAGCAGAGAAGATAAAGAGATCCATCCGAGTTGGAGAAGGGCCCACGGGCTGCGGAGGGAGAGGCTCCCAGGCCCCACCCAGAGCTCTGTCTTGTAGCTTCGCATCCCAAGCCCCATGGGGGCAGGCCTGGATCTTTGGGGCACAGAATGAGNAGCCAGATGAGAGCTCATACTGCCAGGAAGGCGATGTTGGCGGTGGGAGCAGAGAAGATAAAGAGATCCATCCGAGATGGAGAAGGGCCCACGGGCTGCGGAGGGAGAGGCTCCCAGGCCCCACCCAGAGCTCTGTCTTGTAGCTTCGCATCCCAAGCCCCATGGGGGCAGGCCTGGATCTTTGGGGCACAGAATGAGTGGAAGCACCAGCAGCAAAGCCCAAGGGGACTGGCCATGGTCACCATATCTCCTGACATCGGACCGGGTTAAAGACTCGTCATCCCAACCGTCCTGAGACGCAGCTGCCTGCCGCTAGCTAAGTAAGCTCTCTGCCTGCATTCCAGAAACCGTTGTGGAATAGGTTACGGAAAGCTGAACGTGCATGGAGGTCTGTCTCTGCATAATTCTCAGCGAGGTTCATGGAATCTCTTGCTGGATTCAGAGGGAAACTTGAACAGAATCTTCGGGGAAGAGAGAAAGGCCCAAGTCCCGGTTGCTCTTTATTGGGTTGTCTTTGGTGCCATCTAGTGGCCTTGAAACCTCCCTCCTTCTGCCCGTTCTTTCTCTCTTTCTCTTCCCCTCCCTCTTTCTTTCGCCTCCCCCTCCCCATCTCAAGCTGGCTTGAGTGTACAGCTAACAACCAACGACACAGGTGGATCTAGTTACAACAGACAATGTTTGAAGGCAGTAATTGGGAAAAATTGAACCACCTCTACTGACTCCACAATCTATTCAATTAACTGGCCATTACTACGTGGTAGATGGAAAAAAAAGAAACAACAGTGGTTCCTCAGGACGTTTCCCCATAGAAACTATTTCTCTGGAATAAATATCAGATCCCAGTGTGCAGAGTAGCCTAGCAGGTGGCTAGCATGTCCCCGTTCTGAGACTGAAAGTCTTAAAATTTGAAAAGAGTCGGTTTCTGCAGAAAAGACTGGGAAAACCCCAGAAAAGGTATAATGACAGGTGTGTATCTCTGTTGTTGACATTGTGAGAGTTCCCTTGTCTAATCCGTCTGAGCTTTATTCAACTAAAGAGACCTTTAACATCTTAGCTATGCGAGGGACTATGCTAATTCTGCAGGTGATGTTATAGAGCTGTGGTTCCAAAGAAACATGATCCTGCCTCCCAGGGGACATCTGACGATGTTTGGAGACATCATCGGTTGTCACAACAGGGGTGAGGGATGGTACTGGCATCTGGTGAGTAGAGGCCAGAGATGCTGCTCAGCGTGTGAGGAGAGCCCTTGACAACGAAGAATTCTCCAGTCCAAAATGTCAGTCGTGCCCAGGTGGAGAAGCCCCGCTGTAGACAAAGACCTGGGACCAGCAGGGTTGCTGAGACCACCCCTGAAAACTAGACATGCCCACCCTCCACCCCAAACACAGCATCTCTAGGCGTGAGTACTGGGAATCTGCATTTCTGTTTCCAGGTGGTCTTTGCTAACACATACCTAAGTCTGAGAAGCTCAGCTGTTAGAGACCAGGTCACGCTGTAGTGGCAGGAGCAAGAGCTTGAGGGGAAAGGCTGGGGGCAAGGTTGTAACATAGCGCAGTGGAGGATGCATGAAGCAAGGACAGGTATACTGACCATAATAATCAGGCCAGGGACCAAGCCCCTCCTCAAAACTGCACACATCAGCACACTGCCTCCCCTGGAGGACCCTAGTGAATAGAGGTCCCCCACCTGAGCATGTGCCACGAGACAGAGGCAGAGTCGCGTCTGCCAGAGCCGTTATGTAGAACAGTTAGGGCAAGGTGCTGAGAAATTGCTTTGGGAATTCAGAGAAAGATCAGGAAATGAGATGAGTGAGAGGCAAGGCTTCAAGGAAAAGATTCCTTGGAAAACTGGAAGGATTTCCTGGTAGAGGAGGACAGCAAATGGCAGTGCAGAGCAAAGGAGGACACTCATGGGTCCTAAAGAGGACCCCTGTGTCTCACCATGGGGTCCTTCCTTGGGTTTTCAGTGCTAGGGTATTGATACTAAAGGTTCCATGTAATTTCCTTCTGGTCAAGATGAACAATTTTTCTTAGTCTCTTCCTTTTGGAGTGGCTTCCCTGGTGGCTCAGGCAATAAAGAATCCACCTCCAATGCAGAAAACGTGGNGGATGGGGAATACATGTAAATCCATGGCTGATTCATGTCAATGTATGACAAAAACCACTACAATATTGTAAAGTAATTAGCCTCCAACTAATAAAAATAAATGGGAAAAAAAGAGAAAATATGTAGGAGCACTGGAGGGAGAACAGGATCCTGGGTGGCAATGGAATCATGGCTGGATATGGAAGAACATCATGAATGGTGGGAACGTTCACGGACATTAGTGTCCCGTGGAGGCAGCCATGGCCTTTCTGTACCCACAGTGATCATTCCTGTAATACTGTCTTTCAAATGCCAGCTTGTTTGTTTCTGAAACATAGAAAACTGCTTCTATGCACCTTGATTTTTTTTGTTGTTGTTTAAATACACAAAACTGAGACCAGAATAAACAGCAAAAATTTGTAAGGAAAATTCAGTAGGGTAAAGTCTGTTGAATGTATTAATTAAAGAGATGAAAGCAAAAGCTGATACCAGAAACTAAACACTTTTCTTTGCACCTGCGCACCCATCACAACCACGAGTTACCAGGCGAGTCATGTCCCTTNTTTTTGATATACAAAACTGAGACCAGAATAAAGAGCAAAAATTTGTAAGGAAAATTCAGTAGGGTAAAGTCTGTTGAATGTATTAATTAAAGAGATGAAAGCAAAAGCTGATACCAGAAACTAAACACTCTGATCTTTGCACCTGCGCACCCATCACAACCACGAGTTACCAGGCGAGGCATGTCCCTTGAGACCAAGAGCTCCTCCTGTGCAGAGACATCAGATTTTCCTCAGTCTCTTATTCCACTATCAATATCCTAAATCTCCTGGCCTCTGGATTATCTGGATTATCTTTCACTGAAAGTGAAAGTGTTAGTCACTCAGTTGTGTCTGACTCTGCGGCCCCAAGGACTGTAGCCCACCAGGTCTCTCTGTCATGGGATTCTCCAGGCAAGAATATTGGAATGGGTTGACATGCCCTCTTCCAGGGGATCTTCCAAACCCAGGGATCGAACCTGGGTCTCCTACACTACAGGCAGATTCTTTACCATCTGAGTCATCAAGGACGCTGAGCTCAATATTCTGTTTGCCCAGCTCCTCCCCTGCCCCATTCTCCATCCACATCTGTGCTACAGATGGCGGGTGCAGTGGTAAAGAATCTGCCTGCCAATTCAGGAGATGCAGGTTGGATCCCTGGGTCAGGGAAGATTCCCTGGAGAAGGAAGTGGCATCCCAGTCCAGTATTCTTGCCTGGAGAATCCCGTAGACAGAGGAGATTGGTGGGCTACAGTCCGTGGGGTCGCAAAAGAGTTGGACACAACTGAACACATGCAGCCTACCTTACATCTAGCAGTTTATATCTCTCACTCCCCCATCCTCATATTCCCCCTCCCTCTCAATATCTGTAACCAACTCCTCCCTTTCATTCATGAATCTGCAGTGGTCCCTCAGCCCTAGACTCCCTCCAGCTCTCACCCTTCAAAGCCAAACTATTGGAAGAGACTCTGTTTTTAACTTTCTCACGCCCCATCCCTACTTCGGTCCACTGCAGTCTGGCCTTCACTCTGTCACTCCAGAGAACACACACTCAGGAAGTCATTACCAGCCTGACTGCCAACTTCAACAGTCACCTTATTTCACTCCGCCCAGCAAGACCTTTTTCAATCCTTCTTGAAACTCTTTTCTCTCAATGTCTATGAATCTAACCTCCTATCTCCTTTCCTCTCAGGTCTGATCTCTTTGGTGTCTCCCTTGTCTTCTGCCTGCCTTTTTAAATGCTGCTATTTTCCAGGATTCAATGATTTATCCTCTTCTCACTCTCATATATCCTGCAGCAATCTCAGCCTCATCCACTGTTTATTACAACTCATCACATATCTTTATTCCGACTTGTTCACTCTCCTCAGCTCCAGAGCCAGATCTCAAATTTCCACACACAATGTGCACTTTAATAACCTACAAACGTTTTGAGTTTAATGTACCAGAACCAAATTCATTATCTTTGCCTCCTTTTTATTCCTTGCCTCAGGAAATGGCAACACCATTTTCCAGGTCATTAACTGAACATCAGCCTAGACTCCTTTTCACCCTCTGCCTTGAATTAGCAGCCAATTCCTATAAAATATCACCATTTTGACACCTCCTGAATCTGTTCCTTCCCCTGCCTCCATTGCCATGGATACCACTTTAGCCCAGGACCTGGTCTTCTCCTGTTTCCATTATGGAAATTTCCCCTCAACTGGTTCCCAGCTTTCAATCTTGTCCTTCCAATCTATCATTCGGATGACTGGCCAAGTGATCTTCATCACATGGAACTCCTAATTGCATACTCAAGTCTAAGAACCTTTGGTTGCTCCCCACTGTGTGCAGGCAAAGAGCAAACATCTTGGCATCTGATGTGTACATGGCCCTGCCTATCTCTCCAGTCTTTTTTCTACTAATCTCCATCCCTTCACAATCTATTCTACATCCACACTCATTCATACTCCACAAACACATCATGGCGTTCTGGACCTCTGGGCCTTTGTACATAGACTCCCACTTTCAGGAACACCCTCCCTCCCTGTTGGTCTAGGGAAATCCTACTTTTCCTTATAGAACCACTATGGTGAAGCCTCATATAACCACTCTCTTCAGAGTAAAACAGCCTGCATCTTCCTTGGTATAATCTGTGCAAAGCCCATAGACATCCACACTGCACTATGACATAACTCTTCTCTTTCAGGACAGCCTCTCCTACTAGGTCCTTAAAGGCATAGACCTGTCATCCTATTATCAACACTTAACAGAATACTACAGACTACTACTGGAGTTCATCATTACTATCATTAGATAATTACTATTTGAATCTAAATACAGATGAATATTCACAATTTAAATCTCACTACTTAAAATACACAATGACAAAATTAAAAGATTTTTGCAGCTGTAAGATTTTTAGGAAAAAAATAAGAGCTTTAAAAACAAGAGAGAATTCCATCTACTTATTATGGTTTAACTATGCCCCAGACTGGAGGCCAAAGTGATTGGACACCTGGATAAATGGTATTACCATTTACTAAGGTTCTTTCCAACTTCATGACCAATCCAATCAACTCGCTAATATAATTTTTAACATACTGTGTCAGTTTAATAAGAATTCTGATTCTTATCTGATTCTAAGTGGTCAGTTCTGCAGGCAAGATGTCACAGAAATAACACAACTTAGAATGTTAGACAAACCAAAGTCTATACCAAAGCTCAATCTTTTCATTGTTTTTAACTTGGAGATATTTAACCTTCCTGAAGCTCAGTTTTATCATTGGTCATACAGGCTCCTTACAGCAATTTACCCAAACACTTCACACTCAAGCACCCAGCAGCTAGTGACTGCTCCGTGATGGTTGTTTCCTTCTCCTTTACTGAAGGAAATTGATTTTCTACATGTTTATCCGAGCTCCTCTACGCAAAGATGACAAAAACCTCTCCCAGTACCAAGCCATTTCCATGCTAGACAGACAGCCAAGAATGCTTCATAAACATTCTGATTTTCTTTTTAGAAAGTAACATCTACTGTCTTCTTTCTTTTTTAGCTAAAGTGAAACAAAAGTGATCAATATAGTATTAATGGGAAAAAAACTTTGATTTACCTTAAATGTTAACCCGTCGCCACCAGTTGCTTTGAACTGAAACTGTGGACGCTCTCTCTTGCAACTGGGAAGACTGGTCCCCTCCCTTCCCCCTTGGCCCCTCCCTCTCACCTTCCATCCTCACCCCTCCTGGTCCTCCCTCTTCCTGCCAATTGGATATCTTGGAATCACTGCTGCAAACTTACAGTCTCATTGGCTCAGCTCATTGTGAATTGTGATCCTGGCCCTGCCTTTTCTTGAGTTTACACTTCTGTTGCCTAGGAAATGCAGTGACTGTCAAAGCCTGAGCTGTTTACCCTAGGAGAGAAGCCAGCCGGAAGTTGACTGGCAATTGTTTGGTTTCTAGAAGGGCATAAAACTTGCCTCCTAGGTTTTATAAGATAATGTTAAGCAAATTCTCTTCCTTCTTTAGGCAAATCTTTCCTGCCCTTCTGTTGTCTCCAGATGACTTGCTGCTAGAGTGTCTAATTATCAAGTGAGACTTAAAATTACAACCCAAGGGAGCAAGCAGGTATAATTACAGGCGATTCAAAGTTCTCCCACCTTCTCACAGACACACAGAGAAGGTGTCATTTCCCACTGTTTCCATCCCTGGTGTTTTGTTTTGTTTTGTTTTGTTTCTCCTCTTTTTTTCACTTCTCATCTCTTTTTATACTTGTTCCCTAACAGTAAGTTTTCCAGAGGAGAAGTGGCCCTGTTTAGAAAAGAAAACTCCTAAATTATGTTCTTTCTCATTGTACCTATGGCATCTCTCCTACCTTCATCATCTCCGCCACTTTTCTTGCTTCCGTAATAAAGCGACACAAAGAATGGAAGACTAGAACCATGAAGATCTGTTCTTATCTTACATTATATGTATTCTCAGGCAACTGTGGCCATTGATTTCTACAATCTCTAGAGTAGACTCTAAATCTACCTTGTCAATTTCCCAAAATTACCCTGGAGGTCAAGTGGGTGTGCTCTCTCTGGGTTTTAATGAAGGCTTGTCTTGGTTGAGGGGATTTCCAGCAGGGTATAAATTGAGGGGCCAAAAAAAAAAAAAAAAGCCACTTGTTTGAAAATAAGTCCTTTTCTGTCTTTGGGGTTAGATGCTGAGGACCCCCACCTGTGGTTCATGACTCTGATGAAGCCCTAAGCTGGTGCTAACACTGACAGGGTTAGATGCGCTCTCCACCTCCCCTGCAGGGTAGTTCTGAGTGTCTTCTCCGCACACCACTATCCATTTCATTGGGAAATACCTCTTCTTGCAGCAGGTGACCTCATGGCATTAAGCTGTCCGTTTGACTTTCACTAAGTGAAATTGGGCTTCCCTGGAGGCTCAAATTGTAAAGAATCTGCCTGCAATGCAGGAGACCCAGGTTCAATCCCTAGGTTGGGAAGCTCCCCCTGGGGGAGGGCATGACAACCCACTCCAGTATCCTTGCCTGGAGAATTCCATGAACGTAGGGGCATGGCAGGCTACAGTCCATGGGGTTGCAGAGTCGGACACGACTGAGTGACTAACACAACAAAGTGAAATTAGTGCGAAATTACTAAGCCAAACTAATAAGCTATCAGGGAGTAATCAGTTAGATAAGATGCACCACCAATGCTAGACACATCTGCCTTTTAATTAATCAGTAAGATAATGGGAAACTGACTGAGAGCCATTAGAGGGCCAGGAAAGTCTGGGTCATCTTTGCACATTCCAAGGTGCTCAGCACAGTACACTGTACAGAGATGAAATCAGTCAGTGTTGGTTGAATTAAATTGTTGACCTGCATTAAATGCATTTATGTGAAGACTATTTAAAATACAAAATCTGCTTTTCAGAAAAAGTTAACTCCTGTACTAAGTAGAAGTTTATGCAAGACCACATACATTTCATTTACTTCCTTTCACTTGAATAACTGGTTGTTAACATTTAAATAAATAATGTAACCACCTTGCAATAACTTGTGATAAACAAAACAAAGAAAGGTTGACATACATTAAGACAGTATGGTACTGGCACAAAGACAAGCCTATTATACAGAGTGAAGTAAGCCAGAAAGAAAAACACCAATACAGTATCAGTTCAGTTCAGTTCAGTCGCTCAGTCATGTCCGACTCTTTGTGATCCCATGAATCGTAGCACGCCAGGCCTCCCTGTCCATCACCAACTCCCGGAGTTTTTACCCATACTCGTGTCCATCAAGTTAGTGATGCCATCCAGCCATCTCATCCTCTGTCGTCCCCTTTTCCTCCTGCCCCCAATCCCTCCCAGCATCAGGGTCTTTTCCAATGAGTCAACTCTTCGCATGAGGTGGCCAAAGTATTGGAGTTTCAGCTTCA